TTGCCCCTGAGAGAGCCTGTGCCCTCCACCTTTCCGCTAAGTTAAAATCTAAATCCTAATTTATTTGGCTCCCTTGCTTTACATCCACACCAAGAGGGGCTCCTGGTTATTGTATGCATGGAGATTTCAAGCTTCTTGAGAAAGCCTGCTCTGTATTGGCAGTCTGTTGGAACCACTTTTTTCTTCGCTCACGCTGATTGATGTGGAAATTCCCCCCCCCCCCCCCCCTCTAGGTTCGCCAACTCCTCACTATCCCCGATAATGCCGATGTTTCCCTCGAACGCTATTCGGATAGCGCTGCTTCATATATCGTCCTCAATAGCGAGAATCCCTCGGTCTACAAACAGCTGTATCGTGCTGCCAAGGCGAAGTTGAAACTTCGAATCAAGGCTACGTTGCTCCCCAGACATGACAGCCTATGGTCATCCTCGCCTGTCCCGGAGAACACAGATAGCCAGCAAGAACAGTCCCAGCAGCGATGTAGCTACCTCGACACCGTCCTTCGTGCTCCCGTGAGCGACTTCATCAACCAGGCGGATTACCCTCAACCTGTGGCACCTGCTCCCCCAACACTGAATGCCTCTATGTTCCCCAGTGTTCCAGAGCGTAACCCCATCGAAGGAACCAATAACAACACAAACGAAGAAATTTTACCTACTCGGGCTGAACACCAGCAGGAGATGCAGCATGTTCGATCAAATCCTGTGTCATCCGCGGGATTCATGTCGAGTGCCACTCTAAATCTCCCGCAGATCCCATCCGTTCAACTCCCACCAATGTACATCGACTGCAACCACTGCAACAACTCTGTCACTGATGTTTACCTTCACTGCAGTATCTGTGATGATGGAGATTATGACCTATGTCAACAGTGTATAAATGCCGGTGTTTCATGCCCTGGTGAAGGCCACTGGCTTATCAAACGTACCATCAATGGTGGAAGAATCACAAATAGCATCACTGAAACTATTCCCTCTAGGAAGAGCGCTGAGCAAGAACCTCAAGGGAAGCCCACCCCTGAGGAAGAGACAAAGTTCATAGAGCGTACTTGCAATGCCTGCTTCAGAGGTACGTTAGAGGCACTGTTCGAACACCAAAGTTCGTTCACAAACTTTACTAACGATTATACGTCACCGTAGACTTCAATGAGAAGGAACTTGTTAGCTGCCAGGATTGTCCAGACTATGACTTGTGCTTCACCTGTCTACTTGAAGATAGACACGGCCACCATCCTGGACATTCTTTCTCGCTAATCGTGGACGGCGAGTTCCAGTCCAAGAGCCTTGTTATGTCGACTTGCCAGCCTGGACGTGGTCGTTATCACGCTGCAATCTGTGACGGATGCAACAAGGTTAGCTTTTTAAACCCCTGAAACCCGCCTCTCTCAATACAGTTGACAATCGCTAATGCCATGCAGTCAATCAAGGGCGTCCGTCATAAATGTCTCAGTTGTCCAGATTGGGACTATTGCTCGGTCTGTGTCCAGAGCGCCTCGGAATTCCATCCTGGCCACCGCTTTGCTCCGCTTTATAGTCCAATACCGGAGCCACACGGTTACCAGCAGACTCATTATGGAATTATTTGTGATGGCCCGCTTTGCTCTGTGCCGGCGAGGCTCTCCTATATCAGAGGAGTTCGCTACAAGTGTGCTGTGTGCCATGATATTGATTTCTGCGCTTCCTGTGAAGCCCATCCTGACAACACCCATAACCGCACGCATCCGCTGATCAAGTTCAAAACTCCTGTTCGCAACGCAACGATCACCACCTTCACTGACAACACACGTCGTGGAGACGCTGTGACCACTCTTGGCGATCGCCCAGCCACTAAGTCGACCTCAATGGAGACTGTTGGACCCGTTAATTCAAACGCTGCTACGCTGGTTCAAACCGAGAAATCTGAACCAAAGACCGTTGGTGAGGCGGATTCCACTGCTGTGCAGCCAAGTGAGCTGGAGAAAACTAGAACAATTGGGACTGAATCGAGCATTCCGCTTTCCAGCCTTCACGCCCATTACATTCGGGACACCATTCCTGATGGCTCAACAGTTCGCCCCAGCGAGACCATTACTCAAACTTGGACCCTTTACAACCCAGGACCCGCCATTTGGCCGAAGGGATGCAGCGTCCGCTTCGTCGGTGGTGACAGCATGTTCAACATTGACACTAACCATCCGTCCAGTCTTAGCAAGTTGCTCTCCGCAATGGAAACCCAGGAGCTCACAGCCCCTGTTCCTCCGACCGGCAGTGCTGACTTCACTATCACCCTGAAGAGTCCTCAGCGTGAGGGTAGAGCGATTTCATACTGGCGCCTCAAGACAGCTGACGGGATAGCCTTTGGCCACAAGCTCTGGTGTGACATCGACGTGCGAGCTTCCACCGAAGATTCTCCCAGACAGGAAAGAAGTGATAGCAAACAGCCTTCTGTCGAAACCGAAGCACCAAGCGTGGCATCACACACCAACCAAGCTACATATGCTGAGCCTCCTGTGGACAAATCCCAGCCGGGGAGTGCGATGATCTTCCCCAAGCTTGAAACAGAGTCACCAGCCACGAGCAGCACCTATAAATCTGCCTCAACGACCTTGGAGCCACCCCTCAATGGGCCTGCTGAAGCCCAAGACATTACAGATATTGCAGATGATGTTGAGAACCTTACTCTTGACGAGTCCTCACTCGATGACGATTTCCTGACCGATGAGGAATACGATGTACTTGATGCCAGCGATCAGGAATTTTCTTCCCAACCATCTCAGACGGGCGGAAGGAAATGAATGTAGTTAGGCCTACTTGTCGTGGTGATGACTACTATCCATCCCTTTT